ATCAGCATATTGGAGTTCTATAACAGATGTTGTTCTGACCTTGGTTTTGGCTTTCAGTCTGCTGAATTAAATAGCTTGCTATCTGTCAATGTTTAATGAGAGGCAGCACTTCTCGTATGCTTCTGCGAAGGTGTTTAGAGTGGCTTGTAGGTCTTCTTCTGAATGCGCACAGATGACATTGTCATCAGCATATTGGAGTTCTATAACAGATGTTGTTCTGACCTTGGTTTTGGCTTTCTGCTGAGGTTCAATAGCTTGCCATCTGTCCGATAGATGATTTGGAAAGAGACCTCAAAACCACATGCACTTTGCCTATGCCCAGAGGCACTTTTGTTAGGCTTTGTGGGTTGGAGGCATGCTAAAAAAGAGCTGCTTCTGGGGAAACGAGAGTTAGACCTGATTTACTAAAGTGGCCAAGTTTGTCTTTCTTTTGTTTACTTTCCCCATCCAGGTGAGTCAGGCCTCAGGGCTTGCCTCGACAGGTTGGAAGAGAAAATGATTTTTGAAGCAAACACGTATGTATTAATGTCTGCGGCGTTCAGGTTGGATTAGATGGCCTTTGTTGACCTCGCTAGGCTTCCTTGATCATGCCCATGCACAAAACAAAAGCTCAGACAACTCTTTGCAAAGGCTATCCAGTTCCCTTTCCTTGGCCTGACTCGAAGAAAGCATCTACACTGTACAACAACAACAACAACAACAACAAATAACCATAACCATAACCATAACCATAACCATAACCATAACCATAACCATAACCATAACCATAACCATAACCATAACAATAACAATAACAATAATAATAATAATAATAATAATAATAATAATAATTTAAATTCCACACTATTTCCCCAAGGGAACTCAGCGCCATGCAGGAAGCAGAATCAAACCCCTCCCAACAGATGGCCATCCAGCCTCTGATTTATTTCCAGACATCACTGGACTCCAAGGCAGAATGCTTCACTGTTGAACGACCCTTATTGTCACGATGTTCTTCCTAATGCTCCTTTTTTAATGCTCAGCTGGCATCTATGCACCATCAAAGCCCTCCCGACAGATGTCCATCCAGCCTTACTCATAATAATAATAATAATAATGTAAGGGTAATAATAATAATAATAATAATAATAATAATAATAATATAGTTATATTGCACCCTATCTCTGCAAGTGATCTCAGGGCCATGCAGGAAGACACCATCAAAGCCCTCCCGATAGATGGCCATCCAGCCTCTGCTTAAAAACATCAAGAGAAGGGGACGTAAGGATAATAGTAATAATAATAATAATAATAATAATAATAATAATATATTTATATTCCACCCTATCTCCGCAAGAGATCTCAGGGCCATGCAGGAAGACACCATCAAAGCCCTCCCAATAGATGGCCATTCAGTCTCTGCTTAAAAACTTCCTAGAGTTGGAAGAGACCTCCAGGAAGACACCATCAAAGCCCTCCCGATAGATGGCCACTCAGTCTCTGCTTAAAAACGTCAAGAGAAGGGGACATATAGAATCCTAGAGTTGGAAGAGACCTCCAAGGGTCATCTAATCCAACCCCATTATGCAATAATAACAACAACAACAACGTAATAATAATAATAATAATAATAATAATAATGTAATAATAATAACAACAACATAATAATGTAATAATAATAATAATAATAATAATAATGAAATAATAATAATAATAATAATATTCCACCCTATCTCCGCAAGAGATCTCAGGGCCATGAAGGAAGACACCATCAAAGCCCTCAGAATAGATGGCCATTCGGCCTCTGCTTAAAAACGTCAAGAGAAGGGGACATATAGAATCCTAGAGTTGGAAGAGACCTCCAAGGGTCATCTAACCCAACCCCATTATGACATAATAATAATAATAATAATAATAATAATAATAATAATAATAATGTAATAAGGGTAATAATAATAATAATAATAATTTATATTCCATCCTATCTCCGCAAGAGATCTCAGGGCCATGCAGGAAGACACCATCAAAGCCCTCAGAATAGATGGCCATTTGGCCTCTGCTTAAAAACTTCCTAGAGTTGGAAGAGACCTCCAGGAAGACACAATCAAAGCCCTCCCGACAGATGGCCATTCAGCCTCTGCTTAAAAAACGTCAAGAGAAGGGGACATATAGAATCCTAGAGTTGGAAGAGGCCTCCAAGGGTCATCTAATCCAACCCCATTATGCCATAATAATAATAATAATAATAATAATAATAATAATAATAATAATAATGTAATAAGGGTAATAATAATAATAACAATAATAATAATAATAATAATAATATTTAATTTCCACCCTATCTCCGCAAGGGATCTCAGGGCCATGCAGGAAGACACCATCAAAGCCCTCCCGACAGATGGCCATTCAGCCTCTGCTTAAAAAACATCAAGAGAAGGGGACATATAGTATCCTAGAGTTGGAAGAGACCTCCAAGGGTCATGTAATCCAACCCCATTACGCCATAATAATAATAATAATAATAATAATAATAATAATAATAATAATGTATTTATATTCAATCCTATCTCCCCAATTAACCCACAACAACAACAACAATAACAAAACTTTATTCATATTCCTCTCTATCTTCCCAAGGGGACTCAGGGCCATGCAGGAAGGCACTATCAAAGCCCTCCCGGCAGATAGCCATCCAGCCTCTGCTCAAAAACCAGATATCACTGGACTCCTTCACTGTTGAACGACCTTATTGTCACAAAGTTCTTGCTAATGCTCCTTTTTTAATGCTCTGCTGGCATCTATGCACCATCAAAGCCCTCCCAACAGATGGCCATCCAGCCTCTGCTCAAAAACCAGACATTAGTGGACTCCAAGGCAGCATACTTCAGTGTTGAACGACCTTTATTGTCACGAAGTTCTTCCCAATGCTCCTTTTTTAATGCTGAGCTGACATCTATGCACCACCAAATCCCTCCCGACAGATGGCCATCCAGCCTCTGCTTTAAAACCAGATATCACTGGACCCCTTCACTGTTGAACGACCTTATTGTCACAAAGTTCTTCCATAGAAGCATTGCCTCCTTAGCAATGGTTCTCAACCGGTGGGTCGCAACCCCTATGGGGGTCGAACATCTATGCACCAACAAAGCCGTCCTGACAGATGGCCACCCACCTTCTGCTTAAAATCCAGGGTCCTTCTGGTCCCACGGGTCACTCACCGTGGTTTCCGATGCGCCGGGCTCATGCGACTTGTGTAGGATGTCTCAGCATCGAGACAGGAAAGCAGAACCAGCTCACGAGAGAAGAAGCAGCCGAAGGAAACAGAGAGAGACTTCCTCGAACTCGAAGTCCCCGCCCCGTTCCGATCCTCAATTTAATTCTACACAAACACACAACTACACACACACACACAGAGAAGCACAAACAACTGGGTGAGACCAGACGAGACGGAAACCGAAGACGAGCAACCTGGACGGTCCACATATTTGGAGGCTCACTCAGTGGCTCTCCACGTTTCTGCCCTCGGGGTATTTTTTCCCTGCGCTCTTGCTCGAGTGGACGGTTCACTTTGAGACTTGTCCAAACACGAGTCTGATCATCAACGTATATAGTCAACGTATATTTCCTTCGGCTTTGGTGTCACCAGGCCTTCGGTGGGGTCGGCGTTCCTGGAGTGAGAAACAAGAAATATAGGGTTATTTCGAACCCACTCCCTTGTGTTTATTCTTGACTAGCTTGCCCAGGTTATGGGTGAACTACAACTCCTATCATGTCAGGTTAACGCCGAGAAACTCCATCAGTACTTTGTTATGTTGGGCAAGTTTGCTCTAGATGCCTCATTGGTGGAGTTCAGTGTGCTCTCTGGCTGTAGGGTAAACTACAACTCCCACTATGGCGAGTCAATCCCCTTAAACCTCACTTACGTTGGGCAAGTTTGCTCTAGATGCCTCATTGGTGGAGTTCAGTGTGCTCTCTGGCTGTAGGGTAAACTACAACTCCCACTATGGTGAGTCAATCCCCTTAAACCTCACTTATGTTGGGCAAGTTTGCTCTAGATGCCTCATTGGTGGAGTTCAGTGTGCTCTCTGGCTGTAGGGTAAACTACAACTCCCACTATGGTGAGTCAATCCCCTTAAACCTCACTTACGTTGGGCAAGTTTGCTCTAGATGCCTCATTGGTGGAGTTCAGTGTGCTCTCTGGCTGTAGGGTAAACTACAACTCCCACTATGGTGAGTCAATCCCCTTAAACCTCACTTACGTTGGGCAAGTTTGCTCTAGATGCCTCATTGGTGGAGTTCAGTGTGCTCTCTGGCTGTAGGGTAAACTACAACTCCCACTATGGTGAGTCAATCCCCTTAAACCTCACTTACGTTGGGCAAGTTTGCTCTAGATGCCTCATTGGTGGAGTTCAGTGTGCTCTCTGGCTGTAGGGTAAACTACAACTCCCACTATGGTGAGTCAGTCCCCTCAAACCTCTCCAGTATATCAAAATATTCTCCATTTTCCAAAGTATATCAAAGTATGTTACATTTCCCAAAGTATATCAAAATATTCTACATTTTCCAAAGTATATCAAAATATTTTATGTTTCCCGAAGTATATCAAAATATTCTACATTTTCCAAAGTAAAGTATATCAAAATATTCTCCAAAACGAGAAATATATGGTTATTTCAAACCCACTCCCTTGTGTTTATTCTTGACTAGCTTGCCCTGGTTATGGGTGAACTACAGCTCCCATCATGAAAGGTTAACTCTGAGAAACTCCATCAGCACTTAAAGTTTGTTGCGTTGGGCAAGTTTGCTCTAGATGCCTCATTGGTGGAGTTCAGTGTGCTCTCTGGCTGTAGGGTAAACTACAACTCCCACTATAGTGAGTCAGTCCCCTCAAACCTCTCCAGTACATCAAAATATTCTCAATTTTCCAAAGTATATCAAAATATTCTACGTTTTCCAAAGTATATCAAAATATTTTACGTTTTCCAAAGTATATCAAAATATTATTTCGAACCCACTCCCTTGTGTTTATTCTTGACTAGCTTGCCCAGGTTATGGGTGAACTACAACTCCCATCATGAAAGGTTAACTCCGAGAAACTCCATCAGCACTTAAAGTTTGTTACGTTGGGCAAGTTTGCTCTAGATGCCTCATTGGTGGAGTTCAGTGTGCTCTCTGGCTGTAGGGTAAACTACAACTCCCACTATGGTGAGTCAATCCCCTTAAACCTCACTTATGTTGGGCAAGTTTGCTCTAGATGCCTCATTGGTGGAGTTCAGTGTGCTCTCTGGCTGTAGGATAAACTACAACTCCCACTATGGTGAGTCAATCCCCTTAAACCTTACTTACGTTGGGCAAGTTTGCTCTAGATGCCTCATTGGTGGAGTTCAGTGTGCTCTCTGGCTGTAGGGTAAACTACAACTCCCACTATGGTGAGTCAATCTCCTTGAACCTCACTTACGTTGGGCAAGTTTGCTCTAGATGCCTCATTGGTGGAGTTCAGTGTGCTCTCTGGCTGTAGGGTAAACTACAACTCCCACTATGGTGAGTCAGTCCCCTCAAACCTCTCCAGTATATCAAAATATTCTCCATTTTCCAAAGTATATCAAAGTATGTTACATTTCCCAAAGTATATCAAAATATTCTACATTTTCCAAAGTATATCAAAATATTTTATGTTTCCCAAAGTATATCAAAATATTCTACATTTTCCAAAGTAAAGTATATCAAAATATTCTCCAAAACGAGAAATATATGGTTATTTCAAACCCACTCCCTTGTGTTTATTCTTGACTAGCTTGCCCTGGTTATGGGTGAACTACAGCTCCCATCATGAAAGGTTAACTCTGAGAAACTCCATCAGCACTTAAAGTTTGTTGCGTTGGGCAAGTTTGCTCTAGATGCCTCATTGGTGGAGTTCAGTGTGCTCTCTGGCTGTAGGGTAAACTACAACTCCCACTATAGTGAGTCAGTCCCCTCAAACCTCTCCAGTACATCAAAATATTCTCAATTTTCCAAAGTATATCAAAATATTCTACGTTTTCCAAAGTATATCAAAATATTATTTCGAACCCACTCCCTTGTGTTTATCCTTGACTAGCTTGCCCAGGTTATGGGTGAACTACAACTCCCATCATGAAAGGTTAACTCCGAGAAACTCCATCAGCACTTAAAGTTTGTTACGTTGGGCAAGTTTGCTCTAGATGCCTCATTGGTGGAGTTCAGTGTGCTCTCTGGCTGTAGGGTAAACTACAACTCCCACTATGGTGAGTCAGTCCCCTCAAACTTCTCCAGTATATCAAAATATTCTCCATTTTCCAAAGTATATCAAAGTATGTTACATTTCCCAAAGTATATCAAAATATTCTACATTTTCCAAAGTATATCAAAATATTCTGTTTTCCAAAGTATATCAAAATATTTTACATTTTCCAAAGTATATCAAAATATTCATTTTCCAAAGTCTATCAAAATATTTTACATTTTCCAAGGTATATCAATACTTTTCCAAGGTATATCAATACCTAAAGTTTGCTGTGTTGGGCAGGTTTGCTCTAGCTACATTATTGGTAGGGTTCAATGTGCTCTCTGGTTGTAGGGTTAACTACAACTCCCACTATGGTGAGTCAGTCCCCTCAAACCCCTCTAGTAGGTTGAGTGAGTCATGGGGGTTCTGTGTGCCAAGTTTGGTCCAGGTCCATCATTGGTGGAGGTTGCCTTTTCTCTGCTTGTGGGTGAACTACAACTCCCAGAAAGAAATATCAGTTTCCCGCAAACTCCCCCAGTAATCAAATTTCAACATATCAGGTCTGTGTGCCAAGTTTGGTCCAGATCCATCGGTGTTTGGGTTCACAGTGCTCTCTGGATGTAGGTGAACTACAACTCCCAGAAAGGAAGGTCAGTTCCCCGCAAACTCCTCCAGTAATCGAATTTCAACATATCAAGTCTGTGTGCCAAGTTTGGTCCAGATCCATCGGTGTTTGGGTTCACAATGCTCTCTGGATGTAGGTGTACTACAACTCCCAGAAAGGAAGGTCAGTTCCCCCAAAATCCCTCCAGTAATTGAATTTCAACATATCAGGTCTGTGTGCCAAGTTTGGTCCAGATCCATCGGTGTTTGGGTTCACAGTGCTCTCTGGATGTAGGTGTACTACAACTCCCAGAAAGGAAGGTCAGTTCCCCCAAAATCCCTCCAGTAATTGAATTTCAACATATCAGGTCTGTGTGCCAAGTTTGGTCCAGATCCATCGGTGTTTGGGTTCACAGTGCTCTCTGGAGGTAGGTGAACTACAACTCCCAGAAAGGAAGGTCAGTTCCCCCAAAATCCCTCCAGTAATTGAATTTCAACATATCAGGTCTGTGTGCCAAGTTTGGTCCAGATCCATCGGTGTTTGGGTTCACAATGCTCTCTGGATGTAGGTGTACTACAACTCCCAGAAAGGAAGGTCAGTTCCCCCAAAATCCCTCCAGTAATAATTTCAACATATCAAGTCTGTGTGCCAAGTTTGGTCCAGATCCATCGGTGTTTGGGTTCACAATGCTCTCTGGATGTAGGTGTACTACAACTCCCAGAAAGGAAGGTCAGTTCCCCCAAAATCCCTCCAGTAATTGAATTTCAACATATCAGGACTGTGTGCCACGTTTGGTCCAGATCCATCGGTGTTTGGGTTCACAGTGCTCTCTGGAGGTAGGTGAACTACAACTCCCAGAAAGGAAGGTCAGTTCCCCGCAAACTCCTCCAGTAATCAAATTTCAATATAATAATAACAACAACAACTTCATTTATATTCTGCTCTATCTCCCCAGAGAGATATATGTGCCAAGTTTGGTCCAGATCCATCAGTGTTTAGATTTACAATGCTCTCTGTGTGTAGGTGAACTATAACTCTCCCAAATGAAGGTGAATATTCCCCCAAGACCTCCAGCATTTTTTGCTGGTTTTGGGGGTTCTGTGTGCCAAGTTTGGTCCAATTCCATGTTTGTGGAGTTCAAAGGGCTAATTGATTGCAGGTGAACTATAAATCCCAATACCTAGGACTCCAAAATGTCCAAGCTAATTCCCCTCAAAACCCACAAGTATTCAAATGTGGGCATATTGGGTATGCACGCCAACTTTGGTCCGGATCCATCCTTGTTTGGGTTCATTGTGGAGTTCAAAGTGCGAATTGATTGCAGGTGAACTATAAATCCCAATACCTAGGACTCCAAAATGTCCAGGCCAATTCCCCTCAAAATCCAGTAGTATTCATATTTGGGCATATTGGGTATGCATGCCAACTTTGGTCCGGATCCATCCTTGTTTGGGTTCATTGTGGAGTTCAAAGGGCTAATTGATTGCGGGTGAACTATAAATCCCAATACCTAGTACTCTAAAATGTCCAGGCCAATTCCCCTCAAAATCTAGGAGTATTCATATTTGGGCATATTGGGTATGCATGCCAAGTTTAGTCCGGATTCATCCTTGTTTGGGTTCATAGTGAGCTTTGGATGCAGGTGAACTACAACT